AAAAAAAAAAAAAAAAATGAAAGAAAAAGTCGTGAAATAGAGAGTCAACATTTGAGAGAGAGAGAGAGAGAGACCCTCACGGCTGCGCTCCATGTTCTAATAGAGTCAACGCGATCTCTTCATTGTCGTTATTGATGGCGACATGTATCGGCCGAAGTTTCTTCCCGTCAGTCGAAGACGCCTCTATATCGGCACCTGTCTTGAGAACTCTCTCTAGAACAGCCACATCCCCTTGCATCGCTCCAATATGAACGATATTGAAACCTCTTCTATCCACGTGATCTGTCCAGGCTCCTTGGTCGATGAGGAAATCAATAATAGAAATGTTAGAATTGCCTATTGCTCTTTCCAGCGGGGTAATATCTCGTTCGGTGCACACGTTAATCTCAGCGCCTTTGTCGACAAGGAGTTTAACCAAGTCGAGCCGATTCGATTGAACAGCCAGGAAAAGAGGCGTAACTCCCAGGTCGGCACGAGAATTAACATTGGCATCAGCGTCTATGAGTATCTGTGCCGTTTCTAGGGTATGCTCCTTATCGAACTGAGCGGTGAAGTGAAGTGGGGTCCATTGTCGGTCACCAGGGGCATTCACACTACCACGATCATGCTGAATCAATAATCGAAGGAGGTCTGGGTTCGAATGGTAGGCTGCCATTTCAACGCAACTGTGGCCTTTCAAATGTGCTCTTATATCAGCCCCATGGCTGAGCAGGAGCTGGACGACTTCGATCTTCTCAGTCGCGACAGCTTGCAGTAACGCTGTATGGGAGTCCTCTGCAACTGCATTGACATCGGCTCCGCGCTCGATCAGGGTACAGCACGCATCATAATGACCGTTCTGAGCCGCTAGCATCAGGGGTGTCCAGGAGTCGTCTTCCCTGGCGTCTATAAATGCGTCTTTGTCCAAAAGCGCTTGACACAATCTGGCACTACCTCTCTGAGCCGCAAAATGAAGAGGTGACCATTGTGATTTTCCTTTCCCACCATCCCCGTTAGTTGGGGCCTCTTTTGTTAGCCTCTCAAAGTCGAAGTCCATCCGTTGGGCTGAGCTAAATGTCTGCGCAAGCGTGCTCAGACACTCCGTTGCACGTTCGAGGTTTGTCATGGACGTATTCTCGGTGACACCTGGAAATCGTGGCTGCCTTGGGCGCGATCTTCTGGTTGAGGAGGTCCTGTCAGATAGAGCCGCGTTGAGAAACGCACCGAAGGCCTCAGTGCGAGATAATCCTTCTTTAGTTCCGAGGTCGAGTCGCAGTATGTCTTCGACCTCGTTGGAAGATATTGAGTCTACAATATCTGGCTGTGTGGTGGTGTCATTTCTGATCGTCTCATGAGGATCTGGGACGATTGGAGATTCACTGCCTTCATTGTTAGTCCTGTTACGAGTGTCTCAAAAGGACTATCATAAGGAAAAAGTGGGAAGGAGAATAACACTACTTACCGTGTTCCGCCATCATCTTTTGATATGGTGAACGGATCGGGTCCATTTTTTCTTCTTTTTGGATAACTCTGAACCTCATCGAGTAAACGTTTTCGTCCTGCGGCAGTCATAGTGCTCGATGTTGACTACAAGGTTTAGAAATGATCGCAGGCACTGCACCTGGGAGAATCAGAAAGCCGGGGAGTCCAGTTTCGAAGAAGATATGTTTGAGAGCCCTCTTGCGAGCAGACCGTTAATTTACTTTTCACTACGACCCCGGGAGGCTTAAGAGCGTAGGATCAAACAAGAGGCTGTGCTCCCAGCCTTGCTGTCAGTATGCCCATCTCTTGCCACCCTATTCGTTAGGTACGCGCCCGCCGGGCCGCAGGATTTCTTTCCCAGCACTACCCGAGCCCTACATACCCCGTCGAGCCTATCCCATAGTCCAAGTCTGATTGCGTCATGTGCCATTTCCTAAGCGCCCTCTCCTAATATGCCTCCTAAAGCAGAGACGCACGATATCACGGAAGCAAAAATACAAAAGATGATAAAAAGATCATTAAACCTTGACAACACCATAGTACTGTTATAAACGAAAGTTGTTGTCACTGCATGGCTGCCCCTAGGTAATCGCATCAGCCACAAGGCTGTGCAGCAAATGAGCCTAGGCTAGGCAACCGCATCACTGTGGCCCAAGATAAGCATCGGACAAGCATCGTCAAGAGGTCTCTCCTCTGAGCCATCCATGCCCAAAATGAGGCTATCTCATGCTGTTTCAGTCGTCTTGCTACTATGCCGAATGTGTATCGCCACATTGGGCTTTTCAAATAAGGGATGCGCCGCCTACGGTCTGGTGTCACCGCCGCCTACCAGTTGCGCACTAGAGAAAAAATAGGCCGGGCGATTGAAAGTAATCTCGACTTTTGATATTATTATTCATCGCATGCGCCAGTTTTGTTCGTACGGTAGAGCCTGTATGTATGCTTCCCGTTATATTGACCTCCCAGCGGGAACCATAGCTCAGATTCTCATAGTGGAAATATGGACAATCTCGAGACACCCTCAAGCAATATCGATGAGAAACTTCACCTGCATTTGACGACCCCACCGGCAACCGATACAAAATCTCCCTCGTCCATCCTCCATGGCACTGTGGACAGCGCGACCGAGTCTCCGCGGGAGATCCACGAATGCACGCCCAAGAGCGACTGGATATTCCAAAAGCGCGCCTGGGATATGTCCAACACTGCGCTTGACTCATTGATGGAAATGATTGGACTGTGCGAGGTGAAAAAGAAGTTTGTCGAGATCAACACATTCATCGCTACTTCAGGGAGACAGCAAGTTAGTCACCGTAAGAACAAATTCGGGGCAGTTTTTATTGGCAATCCCGGCACTGGTGAGTTCTTCAGCACCATTATGTCTCGTTTCGGACAAGGAATAATTTGTAGTAGGGAAAACAACGGTCGCGGAGCATTATGCGAAATTCTTGCACGAGGCGGATGTACTCCCGGTTGGCGACATCGTGACAGTGAATGGGACTCGACTTGCCTCAGAAGGGGTCCGGAGTATTCAACGCCTGCTGGATGAGGTTGAGGATGGAGGTGTTCTTCTTGTCGACGATGCTCATCAATTGCTTTCCTCTGGCACATGTGACGGAACTGCGGTCCTCAATGTGCTTCTATCCCTGGTGGAGAGGTTAACTGGGAAGGTCGTTGTCGTTTTCGCTGGCCATGGAAAGCAGATGCTGGAGTTCAGAGGTCACCATCCAGCTTTTTCGAGCCTTATACCCACGACAATAAAGTTTCCCGACTACCAAGACCATGAACTTCATCAAATTCTTGTTCATGAGCTGACGATGAGGTTTGGTGACAAAATAAGGGCCGAAGATGGCCTGGACGGCCGCTTTATGCGAATAGTCGTTCGGCGAATCGCCCGTGGACGTGGCCGATATGGATTCGGAAATGCTAGAGACGTGCAAACTGCATTGTCAGTGATCCTCCACCGACAAGCTGATCGCCTCTTTCGAGAAATGAAAGCTGGATACAACATCGACGATTTTTTCCTGACCCAGGAAGATCTTATTGGCCCGGCCCCTTCAAGCGCATTTGATACTAGCACCGCGTGGAAAAAGCTTCTCGGGATGGTAGGCTTGCGAGCCGTTAAGAATGCGGTCGAGGCATTAATTCATCGACTACAGCTCAATTACGAGCGCGAACTAGACGAAAAGCCGTTGGTCGAATGCTCTCTGAACAAACTTTTTCTCGGTAATCCGGGCACCGGAAAAACAACAGTCGCGAAATTATATGGTCAAATATTGGCTGATATTGGACTGCTCAGTAACGGCGAAGTCGTATTGAAGAACCCTTCTGATTTCATTGGCAGCGCTCTTGGACAGTCAGAGGCGAATACCCGGGCTATCCTTGATGCTACAAAGGGCAAAGTGCTCATCATCGACGAGGCATACATGCTTGGAGGTGGAGATGGCAATTCAGTCACATCACCTGATCCATATCGAGCGGCGGTCGTAGATACAATTGCCGCAGAGGTGCAAAGTACCTCTTGTGAAGACCGATGCGTTCTTCTCTTGGGATACAGAGAGCCTATGGAATCGATGCTCAACATCGTCAACCCGGCACTAGCGCGACGATTCCCTCTGGCATCTGCCTTTGACTTCAAGGACTACACGGATGATGAGCTACGGCAGATACTCGATCTTAAACTTATTCAACAGGGGTTTTTGGCTTCCGAAGAGGCTAGGAATGCTGCCTTAGAAGTCCTTCGGCGAGCTCGGAATGGACCAAATTTTGGTAACGCAGCTGAAGTTGACATTTTACTAGATCGGGCTAAGATCAATCAACATCGGCGCTTTTTGGAGGGGGGGAGTCGAGAAAAAGGGGATGTCCTTGAGCCACAAGACCTAGATCTGGAATTCGACAGAGGCAATCCTGAACTGGGAAGCATTAGAAGTATTTTCCACGATTTTGTTGGCTGCCAACAGCTTGTCGAAAGGTTAGAAGCCTATCAGCGAATTGCCAGAAACATGAAGGTTCTTGGCCAGGACCCACGCGAGCAAATACCATTCAACTTCATCTTCTGTGGCCCACCAGGTATGTAGCAATATCGCAGAAATAGAGAGATTGACCATTCGCTGATTGTTTTGCAGGAACTGGGAAAACAACAACGGCGAAGAGAATGGGCGCAGTTTTCTATGAGATGGGCTTGCTTGCGACCAAAGATGTTGTGGAATGCTCTGCCACGGATTTGATAGGCGAGTATGTCGGTCACACTGGACCAAAGACTAAGAAGGCTTTTGAGTCGGCCTTAGGACGGGTTTTGTTTATTGATGAAGCTTACAAACTGGCCGATGGGACATACGGGAAGGATGCCGTTATTGAAATGGTCAATAACCTTACCAAGGACCGGTACCGAAACAAGCTGGTAACAATCTTGGCTGGATACGAAGACGAGATGAATGAACTCATGGAAGCCAATCAGGGCCTGATCGGACGCTTTCCTGAAGTCATTCATTTCAAGAATATCTCTGCCAGTGACAGCATTTCATTGCTATACAAAACATTGGAACTCAAGGGACTTGGCACGATGAAATTAAAATCATCTTCGGAGTTCCAAAGCTGCCTCGAGGTTTCCTTCAGAAGACTTTCTATGATGCCGTCCTGGGCAAACGCCCGCGATATCCACACGCTTTCCAAGGCGATCTTTTCACGGATAATGCGAGGCCACACTCTCCCTTCATCATCCGACATTCCCGAAGCTATTGTGCGAGAGGAGATTTCTTCTATGATTCAACAACGGCATAATCGAACAGCAGCAATCAACTCCTCTCGGAAGCGAAAGGCATCGCCTTCTGAGGAAGTATCTGATCATGCCCGTGCACGAGCTCGACCACCGCCGAAGACCCACATCCAGAAAAATATCGACATAGTGAAGCCTGCTTCAATGACGCCAACTACTGAGAAACAAGAAATGGTGTTAAAAGCCCAATCCCCGCGTGGGCAGAACGAGGAAGGACAAGAACCACCACCGATGAACACACCTCGTGATCCTAACATCTCCGATGATGTATGGAATCAGCTGCAGTTAGACAAGACAGCAGCAAGGTTTCATCAGGAGGGAATTAGCAACCTTCGCAAGATAACTGCTCGCCTGAGGTCGGAAGCTACAAGATATGAGTCAGTGATCTGGCAAGCTGATTCTGACTCTCAAGAATCCGAATCCCAGCAGAAGCTGACTAAAGTACGGCAGCTGCTGGAGAAATTCCAAGAATCGCTGGCAGAGAAGGAGAAAGCAGCCCAGGAAGAAAGGGATATTCAAGAGCGTCTCAAAGAGTTGGGAAACTGTCCCTTTGGGTATGAGTGGATTAGACAGCGCGATGGTTATCGGTGTGGAGGCGGAATGCATTTTGTGAGCTTTGGCGAAATCTGAACAGGCCAAATTTCAATTCCTGCTAATGATATGAAGTAATGAGAGGGTGTTAATAGTTAGTTGAGTGCTAGTTTGTTGGTATATATATTTCTTTTTAAGTCAAGGTCTCCCTGTATTACGTGGTGAAGCCTGCCTACGTGGAACCGGCTTCCCGTAGAACTGAACCAATGTCCGGTTACGAGGTACATATGCCATGCCCTGTTCTACTACTAAATCTGTAGAGGATAAATATGTGATGGAGATCGGTGAAGGAGTTCAGAGCATATGCCGGACCAATTATCAAGAGGACGGAGTCGGAGACAGCGTTTGGAAAGTTGTTAACCTCATTAGACTGGCAGTATCTGGAATTTGGCATTCTGGTACTGCAGATTTGGAAATCTTGATTGGAACAGGATGAGAACCAAAAAGGATTTCCAGTCCACTTGTTAAATATTTCCCTCCTCGCGTAGCACGCATCTGAATGTGGCATATCTCTCTTCATCTACACCAAATAGTACCCACATGTGACTCATAAATCCATGACTTGTAAGGCTTGAGCGGACAGTCCGCCGTGGCCCTCTATCTCATCGAAATAGAAAGCTTACCATAAATGATAGATTGATTCGATATTTCCTTTTTCCCATTTAAAATAATTCATCGTATCAAGATTTCTTTGCGCTGATGAGTACCTCACAGAGTATGGGTAGGCCGACATAGGCCCCTACCAGGAACTACCCAAATATCTCACGTGGAGTCAAGATATATCAGCCTATGCAGTGCAAATATCCGGGGCCGTAATCTTTGTCGATCCGGATCAGGGCGAAGTTAACGCTTTTACAGAGAAACAGGTGGGATATGGGGACATACGCAGTCTAGTGATATCCATCACTAGGCTTTGGGAATATCACATATTTCAGTATAGGTTGAGCTCGGCGTATTAAAGCCCATCCCTACTTGGCGCCTCACTCAACTTTTCACCGGTTCGGTAGATCTTACGTTTTGCTGAGACCCCCACGCCAGTTAACTAACTAGCAGATAGCTAAATAGTTATTCCAAAGCAGCTGAGTAGGTCGCCCAGGTCACTCCATCCATCCCACCGGGATGACAAAGGCGATTAAACTGAGCCTCCAACGTGGAAATGTTGGAGAAGTGGGTCTTTGAGACGCGAAATGCAGTATTTAGAAAGACGACTTTTCCTCAATGCTGCAGAAACCGGGCCCACTTAATCTGATCTAGCGCCCTCGTATTCCTCTTGGTGACCCACATACTGGCCCCAAGGGATTGAGTTCGAGTTATTCCCACTTAATGATACTTACACTGAACGTGGAAGTGATGTTCGCATGGGTATCGGGAAGGATCGCAGGATTCGGCGAGGTTTCTCTTGGTTAAGCATACATGGAAGAACGGCCACAAAGAACGGTTGAGAGGGGAGGGTCAGGTATGACGTTCGGATATCACTCTTGAACGCATATAAATAGTTCCACTGACAGCTTCAGGGAGTCTCAAATACTAAGCGTCTCTACAGATTGTCAATATGAAGGTGTCCGCAAACGGTTTGGCTCTGACTTGTGGTTTCATGGCAGCCCTCGAGGCGGGCCTGGCCACAGCTCAGTTAGCCTCCAAACCACCGAACTTCCTCTTTATCATGACTGATGATCAGGATTTGAAGCTAGACTCCCTGTCGTATATGCCTCTAACTACAAAGCACATGCAAGACAAGGGAATGTCTTTCAATAATCATTTCGTTACAACAGCGTTGTGCTGCCCATCTCGAGTCAGCCTTTTGACAGGACGACAAGCCCACAATACCAATGTGACGGACGTGAACCCCCCATGGGGTAGGTCTAAGTTTCAATTGCTAGCTCTCGCATCCTAACTATTTACAGGCGGATATCCTAAGTTCATTAACCAAGGATTTAACGATAACTACCTTCCCGTATGGATGCAAAAGGCTGGGTATGACACATACTATACGGGAAAGTTGATGAACTCTCATTCTGTGGATTACTACGACAAGCCCTATGCCGCGGGATTCAATGGCTCTGACTTCGTGCTGGACCCTTATACCTACGACTACATGAACGCGACTTACCAGCGCAACCACGACCAGCCCGTTAGCTACCTTGGCCGCCACACAACTGAAGTCCTGACTGAGAAGGCGATGGGCTTCTTGGAAGATGCTCTCACAGGTGAACGGCCATTTTTTCTCACCGTGACTCCCATTGCACCCCACTCGAACATGAATGGGACATATGGTGCTGGGGCGGGCCCTCTATGGATGGATGAGCCCATTCCAGAAGAGCGCCATAAGCATCTGTTCCCCGAGGCCAAGGTTCCCCGTACGGCAAACTTTAACCCTAAGGAAGTGAGTTGCCCAACCTTGCTCGCATTAGCTCGATGAGGTTTCAAATCTGACTTTTATTATAGCCTACTGGCGTCAGTTGGATCCACAATCTCCCATATCGCAACCAATCCGTCATCGACTACAACGACCACTATTACCGGCAGCGTCTGCGTGCCTTGCAGGGCGTTGACGAACTGGTTGACTCGCTCATCGCTCGTCTGGAAGCCAGCTCCGAAATTGACAACACGTACATCATCTACACATCCGACAATGGATTCCACATTAGCCAGCACAGGCTGCCACCGGGCAAGACCTGCGCCTTTGACGAAGATATTCGCGTGCCGTTCTTCATCCGCGGGCCCGGAATCCCCGAGGGCCAGCAGCAGGATATTGTCACGACCCACATTGACATCGCACCCACAATATTTTCCTTGGCTAGTCTACCGCTGCGCGACGACTTTGATGGGACACCCATGCCCATTGCCGATGTGGAGGGAACTCTGCATGAGCACGTGGCGGTCGAGTACTGGGGGCAAGCGATGCTCGAAGGTGGCTTGTCGAACTTAGGCAAGTACCTCCAATTTAACGAGGAAATAAAAACCCGCTAACAGAAATGCAATAGGAACTCCAACTGTTCCCAATAACACTTACAAAGCTCTCCGCATTCTCAGCCAGGAGTACAATTTGTTCTACTCGGTGTGGTGCAACAACGAGCACGAGCTGTATGATCTTAGTGTAGGATTACCTACCCCCTGACCCCGTCTACCTTCCTAAACAATCCTCTCGATTTACGTGGTTTACTAACTCAGCCCTCAATGACAACACAGACCGACCCCTACCAAGTCAACAACCTCCACCCCAACGTCAAGACTAAGAACGCCACAATCTTGGGCTACGACATTCCGGCGGTGATCGATCGCCTTGACGCTTTGTTACTCGTCCTTAAGTCCTGCAAGGGTCGGACCTGCATTAAGCCATGGGAAGTCCTACACCCCGACGGGTCGGTGCAGAATCTCCTCGACGCTCTGAGAGCCCAGTATGATGAATTCTATCATGACCAGCCAAAGGTGTCGTATGATCGGTGCGAGTATGGATATGTCATTGATGCGGAGGGGCCGCAGACAGCGTTGGCATACCGGAACGGCTATTCTCTGGATCTGTGGATCTAGGGTCGAGTGATTGGAGACTGCCGGGATTAGTGGGGGTAGAAAGGGTGGCATGAGCCAGCATATGCGGTGCTTGAGTTGACTATTCTGTCTAGTAACCTCAGGTCTAGATAAACATACATTTCAAAAAATACAAGTTCTAGCCCCGAGTCTCTTCGTGGATTATCTCGCCTGTTCATTGTCTCGGTTAAACCGCGGTTTAGAGTTACGGGGTGGATCGCGGAGTCTGTCGTTAGGGAAAGGTTGAGCCCGCCTCTGAAGAGAAGGGATGGCAGCAGAGGTTCTTAAGTGGAGAATCCTACGATTTTGGATGCATTGATGAAATTTGCGAAGGTTGTAAGACGGGATTTCAAGCTCTTCCCACGTGAAAATATGATGTAGTATCAGACTCAGTCAGTTTCGATTTCCAATCAGTGAACTAAGAATTCGTTTTCAGAATCTATAGGTTTGGGGGTTAGGGTATCCCGAACATTAGTAATTCAACAATTTCCTTTTTAGGGTGTATAAGGTCATTCTGAAAAAAAGCTGGCATTTCTCTGGACCTATGTGAACTGCTTTTCTAGCCTCGGTTTGAAACTGCCGCACTTAGTTTTGAAGCTGTTGCGGGTGGGTGCCCAACTGAATGAATGAGCTTGGGGAATCCGTATTAGGATTACCCAGATGGCCACTCGGAGGGATCCGGTGGGATGGAGATAAAGGGTTTGTGGAGCCGGTGGGATGAATTCCACCTCGATAGAGTCCCCTCTACATCCTTTTCCTCCAGCAACGGAACTGCTAACTCCAGGAAAAGAAATGTCCCCATTACGTACTATTCAAAATCGTTTCAAATGTCGAATTTCTGGCTGCACATCCAGCTTCCAGCGAAAAGAACACCGGACGCGCCATGAAGGACAGCACACGGGCGCATTGGCCCGGGAGTGTCCGCTTTGCGCCCGCACATTCTCTAGAAGGTGCGTATACACTATTTCTTAGGTAGACAAATACGTAACCCTCTGACTCTTTTCAAGTGACTCTCTTCGTCGCCATATTCGTCTCGACCACGTCCCGGACGAGCCAACCCGGGTATCTCGAGCCTGCCGGCGCTGTCGCCTAGCCAAAACCCGCTGCAGTGGAGGCGCTCCCTGTAGTCGGTGTTCCGCCCAGACACGGCAGTGTATCTATGACGACCGCCAAAGACCTCAACAGCAGGATCAACAACCTCAATTATCGGCATCAACTCAACCATCACCAACATCGCAGTCCCTGGAGGACCACACGCTTCCTTGCTCTCCTCTCCCCACTGTCGAAGACCATGACTCGACCGCCCATTTCCTCCCTTATATCCACCTTTATTTCGCCCATTTTCACTCCCATTGGCCCGTCCTGCATCGAGCCACCTTTAATGCCTCTGATGAGCCACCATTGCTCTTACAGGCTGTCTCTGTGATCGGGTTATGGGTTAGTAATAAGCCTTCAGCTCGAGAGGCGGCGATCAGCCTGCACCGGAAACAGGGCCATTCCATACTAGCACAGCAGGTAAGTCTCCTTCTTCCTCACAACCACCCCCCCCCCCCCCAAAAAAACGCACAGCCTAAAGGATGACCTAGGAAAAATGGACACGCGCCCTCCCATTTCAAACAGAAACTTCCAACAACAATTCAACAGGTTCGCAAGCGACCGCATCCCGATGTCCCGTGGCGACATACCAAGCAATCCTTCTATACCTGATCTTTTCCTTTATTCTGAGGAGCCACAGCATTAACCACACCACAGTCAACAATAATAATAATACTGACATCTGCACCACCCCACGCTCCCTCGACCTGACCCTCTCCCTCTCCCCCATGGACCAACACATCCTCTCCCTCCTGGTCAGCACTTGCCTCCGCAATCGAATATTCTACTATCCACAAATGATGGAACGGTATCATCATACCATGCAATCTGTCACGTGCATTTGGATCGGAATGGAGGAACTCAAACGGCTCGGTTTGGCAATGTATCGACTTTGCCGACTCTGTGGGAGGGAGAACGATTTACCAGGAAGCGAAAAAGATGAAGCGATTGTGGGGAACGGGAGGCTAGTATTGCGAATTTCCGATCTACAATTTCCCCCTCCAGATAGTCGACATCTCTGGGAGGCACAGTCGGATCGGGAGCTGTCACGGTTACTGCAGATGGAGGCGTGCCGGGGTGGGACGCGACTGGATGGTCGTGACGAGGGGAATTGGATTTCGTCGTGTGGGAGGCTGTTGGATGGTGCGGAAATGGAGCAGTGGTGGTTTTGATAGGAAATATGTTCGTAAACAGCTCCCATTTTTAATACTAAACGGCCTTGACAGTTCCTGTTGGATAATGTTGGCTAACATTCGCCTACTACTACTTAGTATATAGCAGGAAAGGGTCCTATAGCAGAAGTGAAGATGAAAGTATTCAACGCAGAACAATATATATAGTCTACCATTTTACTTCCACTGTACGCCGAAACCTCCTGTTGAATAAGATATTCTATCCGGCCCAACCATCAATCCTATATATCATGTAACCCCTACTAAGAGTAACCACATAGTCCTCCCTAAATAGTACCCCTAGAGAACCCTTTTCTCCACCCCCGGCACCAACCAACACACCTTCCCCTCAACCTCTTCCTTCTCAAACACGCGCTTCAAATCCGCCTGATGTTCCGTAAAATGCTCCCACGACTCAAAGTGAATCGGCACCATAACATCCACCCCAATCACTCGCATCAAATGCGCCGCCTGCTGCCCATCAAACGTTATCTGCAACATCCCCTTTGGCGACTCGAACAACGCATTCCCCAGGTTCAGCACTGCCACAGAAACATGCCACTTCTTTCTAATTTCCGCTAGCTCATCGATCCAAACAGTATCGCCTGAGAAATACACTACATTCGGCAATCCATCATCGCTGACCCCGAAGGAGTCACACTCAACAATAAACCCAGTGACCTCTCCACCGGGAAAATGCTTGCATGGCCGTACCAGTGATACGGAAGTGCTTGCCGCCGATCAACTTCTCAACTGTCTGCCAGGGCTGGAGGCCGACGACGCCGGGCCGAGGAGCTAGGTTCTTGGCACCGTCAGGAGTGGTGAAGACGCGGCGGCCGTCAAGGAGCTGTCGGCCCAGGGGGTCGAGATTGTCGACATGGTCTTCGTGGCTAAGGAGCACGGCGTCGATGGGCGGGAGGTCGTGAAGCTGGAGCGCGGGACCCTCGAAGCTGCGAAGCGTTGAGGTTGGAGGGCGGCCGTTGAAGCCCCATTCTTTCCAGTCCGCTTTTACCCAACCGTCGTAGATGTATTCGGACCCGGCTGGGCAGAAGACTGGGTCGGTGAGGAAGCAGATGCCGTCGATGTTGATGACTGCGGTGGCAGTGGTGATGTGGGTGACTGAGACGGAACCTTGGAAGGGAGCCATTTTGGGCCTGGGATGGGAAAGAGATAGCTTATGTTGCTTGGGATAGAAGAACGAGTATTTAACTTGAGAGAAGATTGTTCTCTTTGGTTTTAAGCTGGATGATCATCACTCAGAGTGGTTTTTTGGCTCCTTATATGTTTCTTCAGGGTGCCTAGGTGAAGCCATCGCCCTTTCTCCCTCCCACCGGAATTGTTTTAACAACAATATTGACTTATGCTCTTGATGATTAATTAGTCGCACGTCGTATGATTAATTGTCTCAAAAATGAATAATGTGTGCCCATGACTCCTCTCTTACAACTTAGCTGGATAGTCTTCTCCACCTTTTCTAGAAGGTTTTTGTCATGGCATACATCCCACAACATCCCACATCCCACGTGTCTCCGAAATTAGATATCAGACTCACCGTGCACACCGCATTCTTTGTCATCTAGGGACCAGTTTGTGATAATAAAACCCGCGGTGGCTCCAAAGCCGTGCTAGTAAGGCCCGTGTGAAACAATAGCACCATGAGCTCCTCCGAGGTGGACAGCAAATATGCTTGGGTGATAGTGCTGGCAGTGTTTTGGAACAATGCTCACCATTGGGGAATCCTATCTGTTAGTATCACCTTCTAGTTCACCACACTTGCACTGACACCATTTAGAGCTACGGTGTCTTCCTTGCCTACTTTACCTCCCATTCCACATTCTCCGGGAGTCGAGCTCTTGATTATGCCTTTATCGGAAGTCTCTCCGCCTCGCAGGCACTGTTTATCTCCCCAATAGTCAGTATCCTGCACTGCCGCATTGGCTTGAAAGCAACAATGGCATTGGGGGTCCTGCTCGAAACCGCTGCATTTTTGGGAGCCTCCTGGAGCCATGAAATCTGGCAACTCTACCTTAGTCAAGGCGTCTGCTTCGGCTGGGGTCTCGGATTGCAGTACCTTTCGACAACCTACCTCATACCCCAATGGTTCAGCCGTCATCGCAGTCTCGCAGCCGGCATTGCAACCGGCGGCAGTGGAACAGGAGGCTTGATCTACTCTCTTTCGACGCATGCCCTGCTTGCGCGGTTCGGCCTCGGCTGGTCCTACCGTATCCTTGCCATTTGCCAGCTCGTCGTCAACGCAACCTGTTTGCTTGTCATACGCGATAGGAAAATAGTAGCAGCACCCACCCGATCTTTTCATACTATCCTCCGTCTCTGCACCCGGTACGAGATGTGGTTGTACCTCGGCTGGAGCTTTTTCAGTGTAATGGGGTTCATGGTCATCTGGTTCTCGCTGGCCACGTATGGTCGCAGCGTTGGGTTGACATTGAGCCAAGGCTCGATTGTCACGGCGGTCATGAATGTTGGCCAGATGGTGGGGCGTCCGGCCGTGGGGTTTATGTCAGATGCCGTCGGTCGTATCAACATCGCTGCTTTCGCAACCTTCGTCAGTGGTTTGCTTTGTTTGTTGTTATGGACTTTTGCCCGCACTTACGCTGCTCTGATCTGCTTCGCCTTGTTTGCAGGCGTCTTCTTTGGTACTTTCTGGACGGTATCTCATTCCTCACTGTCTCCTGTCTCATTTTCTCGGCGTGGACGCTAACACTCAAATGAAACGGCATACAGGTGGTCGGTCCACTTGGAGCAGAGGTCTTCGCGTTGGAGGATCTGCAGTCGGGCTTGACAATTATATGGCTGATCTGTTCGGTCCCTGCTACGTGTAAGTCTTTCTGTTTCTTCTCTGCACCACCACTTTTCTTCTGAAGATGACTTCTCAAGATACTGATCAAGACGGGAAAAACAGTTGGAGAAGCCATCGGCCTCGAGCTGCGAACCTCGGGAAGGCATGGATTTTTACACACGCAACTATTCACGGGATTCATGTACATCAGCGCCGCGCTATGCTTAGTCCTGCTCCGAGGGTGGAAGATTGGCGAACTCCGGAAACAGCAGCAGCAGCAGCAGGAAGGCATTACAATGGCACGTGCCGCAAGTAAGAAGTATCTGAACTTTGTCGCCGCGACGCCCAAGGTGTAATGCTATATAAACTGCGTATCTGGCTTTAGGGTACAGAGGATGAAAACTTTCTGGAGCGATAAGTAGAGGGGATTAGTTATATCTTTTATTGTAACATTAGTCTAGCCCCTGCTGCTCGGTGGCTTGCGATGTATCGTTTCTGCCTACTTAGCACCAAACACTGTTTTGACATCTTCTGCAGTAGAGAACTTCATATAGCTATGAGTATTGCCTGTTTCATCAACAGGTCTCTTTCAATCATGAAGATCAATGTCTAAGAGATCGAGCGGCCGATATCATATCCACCACGACGCGGGAGTCTTTCAGATCATTCATGACTACCGCTATGTTCTGGTCGTACGTCAATGTTACCTCTCTAATATACAGCGATACGAACCACGGCAGAGCTCAAATCATGAGATCAAGAAGGAAGCAATTGCCTCAACTACTTAGATGGAAACTGAGAAATACCTAGCAGCGTTGATTCTCGTCTGTTGTGTATTCTATTAGCTTGAGGCAAACGGCATTTTGCCCCGTCAACAAAACGGGTTTAATGATTATTTTTTCTGTTAACCATGGCCGCATGGAGCACCGGTGTTCTCAAGGTCCTTTACAAGGTACCTAACCGTCTTCACACCGATGGATGTACCAAAGGTATCCGACAATTTCATCTCGTTCTAAAACTAGCGAGGAAACGAGAACAGCAAAGACTCGCTCAGCGATTGTTCCTTTCCCGATGTATATATAGCCAAATAGAATATTTATATTTGGTTTTTACAGATTGATTCATTCTTATAGGGCCAGCACAAAACCTGTCGCCTCATCAGAGTGAGTTGATCTACCAACAGTAGAGTCCTACGCTCGCAGACTGTCCCAGTCACCAGACACACTCGATGATCATCATCAGACTCAGGAACCTGCTGCACGTCCTATGTGTACTCCTTATTCTTTGAGGGATCAACAACTATATTGCAATCGGCAGTCTGCGGTAGAAAAACACTTTGGCTCTGTTAAACGAATTTTGTACTAAAATCTCACTATTTCAAATAATGACAACATCACAAGAACCCCACAATTTCATTTCATGTTGAGACAGCGCATCTTAACCCTCATATTTCTTAGTTAAGATTTGCATCTGGTTGCGATCTTCATCATAACCCATGAAAAAAGTGCCAAAATTGCCAAATTTATCGTAGATAGTAAATTTACCCTCCCAATAATGACTCTCTTCCCATGGATTTGCACCAGTGAACATCATACGGGTACAGCACATGGCGTTGAGTCTTTGATTTATTGTAATCTCAGTTGTCATACGCCCCCTCCCCACTGTACGCGTCTCTTGGGAGCCCATTGGCCAATAATAGAATATGTTGCAAGGCGCGTGGACCGAGAAAAAACCAGTTGAATATTTCAGGTATGGATCACTGCTACCACCATCATAACTATACAGCTCAACCTTTCGGAATTCGTATTTCGTGCTGGTGAGAAAATAATTGTCCTGATCCCAGTACCAATGATAGTTTGGAGAGTAAAAATCGCCGTTGGCGGTATCATTTCTTTCAAGATTCAAATCATCCTTTGTATACGTCTCTGGGTTTATACCCCGGAGAGTGACTTTTGAATCAAAGGCTGCACTCGCGGTATGTACAACAGTACCATCAGGCTGTTGAATGCTGGCTCCAATCCTTTTGTTTCCGATCTTTGTCGTTGTAACCCAGTAGCGCTTTCTTTGAGGGTCCCCATCCGCGAGGGATAAGTCCGGCTGGGGCTCTTTTCTCGAGGTTGGCAATGCGTGCTCGAATTCGTTTTCTGTGGCTGAGTAACTCCACGATCCTGATATTTCCGTAGCTGGGTTCTCATCGTCGTAGTCAATCAATTTGATATTTTTGAGGTCTGAATCCTTCAGCTCATATGTTGAGGCTGATTCAGGATCAATGGCTTTGATGGTAACAATAACAGGGACCTGCATGTGACCATTGGCATAGAGAGTATCCGTGGCAGCATCTGCTGTGCTGGTCTGAACCTGAAGGAAGGAAACTTCCCAAGAAACCTCGGAAGCTGACGACATAATGAAAATATGACTCAAAGGTAATATATTCGATGGTGCTGGTGGAAATGGGCTCTGATGATGTGTAGACAGGTGGGTGTTCCTTTGTGCAGTTATTATAGTTTCAGGAAACATACATCTTGAAGGATGATTTATCGCCTTGATTGTCACCTCGGGTAAAGCATTGCTTTGCTACGCTCAGCTCCAAATAACACAAATCTTTCGGGATTTGATTCAGTTGATCTCACTGGGCCTTCTTGTTTAGCTCCGTTGCAAGTGGAGCCTGCCAAGCTGAAATATTGAGGAGTTTCTTTACTTCCCCTCAGCAGGCTCAGCTGCGCCCGGAACACACATGGATGCTCAATGGCCTGAACTTTGCCACACTTATTCCCCATGCTTGATTGGGAGCCTAGAGCAATCGTTTGCCACGGTCAAGGTCTCTCGTTTCCGATATTGATGTCTGAAGGAAGTCATCTCTAATACACGGGCAACGTCTATTCATTGCTATATTGTATAGTGATTCCGTTTCCATGAAAGCCCGCCTATCTACTATTTATTCAGCGTCAGAGTATTAGGTAATGATCATCTGCTGATGTTATGTCGTAAGCTGCTAACCACTCCCTTCCGAGCTTTACTCGGTGTGTTTTCACTAGTGGTTCAGCTAGCAGGGTTAACACCGGCACCTACTACCTAGCTTATTATACGCGTCACTATCTTAGAGTAAATTGCCACAATCAAGTCAGTGCTACCAACATCAATTGAGAAGGCTTCCCATTAATGCAGCCTGTGGCCCAAACACCAATAGGGTGGGGTAGACTCCATTTCATCAGCGGATCATCCTTCCAATCACCTCATTATGACTGACGGCCACGATTGAGAAGGTTAGTATCTCGAAGATTTGACGGTTACAGTTACAATAATCTAACGCTCTAAATCTCAGTGACACGCAATCACTTGTATGGAGACCCGTGTACCTCGTGCGAGGCACTGGATGGGGCCTGAAGTTGATCTATAGCTACCTCAGAGCCTACTTGTTAGAACAGGGGAGTGATTGGATTTCCTCAGTATCCTTCATTGGCTATTTCCCCTCTTTTCAGCCACATGCGTTTGAGCCAATATATCCCTCGTGCGGTTGGTATCCAACACGGGATACATCTCCGAGCTAACATGCACCTTGGAAATTAGTGCAATACGAGTTTATCAGCCGCGTCTTTTTCATTGATAGGGTCCTTCAGCTCGGAGAGGCCGATAGGATGAAGGATTACAGTTGTTGGGTTGCCACATCCGGGAGCTCCATATGCAAGAATATCTGACTATCCCAGTTAGCATACTCGGTGTTTCTCATGGAGAAGATTTTCCATTTTCATGCCCAAAAATGTACTGCGTTCAACACAGCAAATATTTAAGTTAAGCAGCACAATAAACCGAGGTTGTAAAAATCGCGTGGCAATTTCAGCTTTGATTTCATGCTCAGTTGTCCAAACCATACCTTAGATAGCGTAGCTGGCAAGTGAGATAACAAGTAAAAGCGAATGTCGCCACTGCCTAGCTACTTGTTTGTGCGCTACTATCTTAAACCTTACTAGCCACTTAACGCCTCTTATCTGCATGTTCGTAGATGTTGAGACATTCACTGCAGCCAGGCAGCTGTCAGCTGACCCTTCGCCTCTTCCTCCTGACTGGTCTCAGGAATTATGATAAGGCTATCCTGCGGAGCTCTCATCATAGCTACAGAGACGCGGTTAACAGGTGAGAGGTTTGTCCTATGATTATTGAAAGACGGACACGCATATTGCCCTAAAAATGAAGGACTCAAACGGCTGTCCACAACATCTCGCAGATGACTCCTTTTCTGCATCTCGGCCAGATTGTCGTCCAGCTTCTACAAATACACCCTTGCCTGGGCAATAATTCCGATCGGGAAGAACTGGATTTTCATTTATTTAGGTACCACAGCACAATCTTAATGGTCCAGCTTTGAGAAATACCTGCAATGACACTCTCTGGCTCATCTGGCTGGTGTGAAAGCTCGCCGCTGCGGCGGGAACGAGTATATTCTCTGCTCTCACGCCTGGCGTTCGCTAGGACGTGCCAATCGAGGGGTGGTTCTCTGGCTGTGGGAGATTAGGCATGCTCAGCGGGTGTGTACTCGGTGACCAGAAAAGTAGTAGATTCTGGCTCAGGGAAGACTTTGAAGTGGTCTGATGAAACGTGACGGTGATGGTGTGGAAGCTCACATTGTCAGTACCTGTGCCTGGACAACCAGGCCCGTCCAGAGCAGGAAATTTGAAGTATTACTGGACCGTCACAACTTAACAATCTTCCGTATCACGCTGTGATCATGTAGCCCTGTTGCGATACACATACAGCTTCACGAAATAGTCACAGGCGCAGGGAAGAGCGATGGCAGGATCTATAACAACGACTATCACAAGGAGCAGTGCGACAGCAAAGGTTGTGGTGTAAGGTCTTTCATTATTAGTAAGGATAAGAACCCATGATGGTGTCGGGTTAGTGCTGGACAATATGAGCTGTGTAAATTGGGGTACGAAGATATCGTTGGGCGTCGTAGGAAGTCTTGACTTCTGGCCTTGGGAAAGAATCCGTACCTAGACATTCACGGCGGAGGAAGTAGCGGCTCCATCAATGAAGTAACCGGCCTGATAGTCTGGGTCCGATACCTTGGGGAACTCTCTTTCAAATTCTCCTGGTCTTAGAATCGATTCAGTCGTCATGATCCCATGAGAAGTGCATATTTTGTTTCTCGTATTGCAGTCTCATATATTCGCTGTTACGGAGCCCCTAGCTGTCAACATATTCTCCTTATCTACCAGCTGGGGCTTGCGGCCTTTGAGGCCTAAGAGAAATCTATCGGGACAATGGAAAGGCCGATGTCAATCGACTGATGCGAATCAGGTGGTTGTGGCATCTACTGAGGCTGTTGAGGATTAATCCCAATTGTTACAATTTGGGG